ACTATACTACACTACACTACACTACATCCCTACATACATATCTAATCATTACTAGAATCTTGTATGGACAGGGTCGGTTACAGAAAAAGACAGAGCATAACGTGGAGGAATGCTTTGCTTTCGCTATGGCCATAGGATCGCACCACATTGTGCAATCAGTTATAGAGTACTGTGCACATGGTGAGGGTGAATTCAGACGGTCAATCGTACGTTGTATAACGAGGGATGCTTATATACAGGAGGATCTTGACTTCAAAACGGAGGTCAGTAAGTAGAAGACAAATGTTAAATGTTAAAGGAATAAAAGGAATTGGGAAAACTCCCAAGCCTATCCTCTGTATCCCGTTTTGATATATGCAAAACTTATATATTTCTTATAGAGTCATATGCAAAACATAGATTTCTTGATACAACTATAAGAGAAAGAAAAACTCGCCAAAAGTAGCAATATCCTGCCAATAATCAAGCAATAGAGCATAAATCTGCGGACTTTATGTGGACGCATGTGTCAGAAGTTGTGACCAACAGCTTACCTGGCACGCAACAGTGGCATTCCGCCCCGCAGACGCCAGGCACGACCAGCTGGGTCTCTGTGCAGTTTGGCTCGCAGTGGCCGCCGAGGTTTGAACAGTCTTGCTTTTCAGGGCAGATGTCCGCTAAGAAAGGTTGATTGTAATTAAAAATGAGTTATCTAAAAGATATATATTTCTTTCTTAATTACAGGTGAAAAAATAAGAATATAATCTAAATTATCAAAAATATAATAAAGGAATTATTCACAGTCGCATCTAAGAGGAACCTGTTTTCGGCGCTTCTGTCTGGACCTTCCTAAATCATTTGCCACTACCTAAACCATGTTGGACCATACCCATCAATACGTAATCATTGCTAGAATCTACACTTCTGGTACTCTCTTTGCAATGATTACTTGCACTATACTACGCTACACCATTACACTACATCCCTACATACAGACTTAATCTTTGCTAGAATCGTCCTTACCTCCTATGCAACATGTGCAATCTGCATAATGGCAGAGGTCTGACCGTGACACTTGGTCTGATCGATAGCATTTGGGCTGACACGCTCCGCCCTCAGCCCGGCACTGGCTGGTCTGAAAACACGGCTCTGGAAGAAGGAACATAAGTGTACTCTTTCACGCTCTCTCTCTCTCTCTCTCTCCCGCCACCTCTCTCTCTCTCTCTCTCTCTCTCTCACTTTCTCTCTCTCTCTCTCTCTCTCTCTCTCTGTGCTGTGTGGTGCAACGGTAGCGATCTCGTCCAGCAATCCTCCTGACCTGCGTTCGAATCCCTCGCCGCCAGTGGATGGTAACCCCGGCCATTCCTTGCACACAGGGGATAATTTAGAAGCAAAATAAAACAGACAGTATGTCACACCAAGAATATCCATTGTAACAAATGGAATCAAACTAAATTATAAAAAAAAAATATATTATTAAATTATAATTATAAAATTATAACTCTCTCTCCCATCTCTCTCTCTCTCTCTCCCGCCCCTCCCTCTCTCTCTCACTTTCTCTCTCTCTCTCTCTCTCTCATTCTCTCTCTCTCTCTCTCTCTCTCTCTCTCTCTCTCTCTCTCTCTCTCTCTCTCTCTCTCTCTATCTATCTATCTATCTCTTTCCCTCTCCCTCTCTCACTCTCCTGCCCCCCCCCCCCCTCTCTCTCTCTCTCTCTCTCTCTCTCTCTCTGTCTCTCTCTCTCTCTTTCTCCCCCCCTTTCTTTCTCTCTTTTAGCTTTTAAGGTGGAGGGCAAGGTCGGGTTGGCGAATGGAGCGACCATGAAGAATGTCCCTGTTTTAGGGGCATCTTTAAACTATAACCACAAGTACACAGTTTGGGCAATTTGGACAAAAGAACAAAAAAATCAAGAGATTAATATTCAGCCTTATGTTTGTATATAACCAAATTAGTTTTAAAATTCGTCGCCCCCCCCCTCCCCCGATTGATGTCCCTGTATATATATATGTATATATATGTATGTGTGTGTGTGTGTGTGTGTGTGTGTGTGTGTGTGTGTGTGTGTGTGTGTGTGTGTAGAGAGAGAGAGAGAGAGAGAGAGAGAGAGAGAGAGAGAGAGAGAGAGAGAGAGAGAGAGAGAGAGAGAGAGAGAGAGAGAGATGAAAACGGAAGAGAAAGAAATACGTACCATTGGTGCAGCATAAACAGTTCTCATTGAAGCACTCCATGGTCAGCCCGATTTCGCCGAATTTGCAGGTGGTGTTACAGTATCCTTTCCGAGACAAACAGTGCCTCGTGGTGCTACAAACTGCGGTTGGGTGTCAACATGATATATGATAACAACTATCTTGACAATAAGAATCCAAAATTATTCTATCATATCATCACCAAAAGACATTTTCTCACTCGTTCATCAGAGTCGAAATTTCTAATTAAATTTAAAAGGAAAAGAGAAAAGATAATGAATATAAAAGGTTTAAACATAGGAAGCAAGTCGTCTGAAACTCAAACTAGTTTTGTTAAAAAAAATATATATATATATATGTAGTTATCTATTTCAATTATTCTTGCATCATTAACTGATTATCTATTTATTCATTTACTTATCTCCTTAATTATTCATCTATTGCTAACACGGATATGAACAAACCAACTACAGTACACTGAGAAACACAGAAAAAGAGACAGTGACAACACGTCTACCACCTTATAGGAAGATGCAGGCAGCCTCTGTACCTGTTTAGAACACATATGTAAACACTGAATAAAAGTCCAGGCAAATGTACTTTATATATGATAACTTATTTAAGACTGCTGCCCCTTTTATCTAGACTCTCTTGTTTCTTGTTTTTCAGTTCACGATCACCTCCAAAATGCAAATTAGTAAAGCCAGTGGGTTAAAGTGCTCCACCATTTTCATGTTCCCATTACTGTTTATGTAAATTCGGAAAGGAAACGAACGTAAATCAAAATTAGTAACAAACTGTTTTTGTAATGAATGAACTGTAAGGTTTGAACAGTTGGCACTTGTACTCCAATCACTGGAGTTAATTATATTTGCAGTGCAAAATGAAAAAGAAGAAAGGAAAAACGAAAAAAAAACAGGAAACATGAATCATTACATCTCCTTTTGTGTAAGGAAGGGGTACTGAATATTGTTTCTTTAGTAGATAAGAAACTTACATATTGACAGAGGGATGAGTAAGCAAACATGACAAGAAATGACTAAAAATGTTATCCCACTATCGACAATCTTGGCCCCGATATGGAGGGGTGGCAATCCCTCTTGGGGGAATCGTAGAGAGCACAGCACCCTGCATTAGACAATATAGGCTGATTCTTTGTATATTATTCATGCTTTAGCCCGCGATCTCTCTGGTGCCTCCAATGCTAATAGGGCCAAGGATGTGGGTGGTTGGGGGGGGGGGGGGGCAGCGCCATGGAGAGGGTGGGAGGAGTCCATCGATACCAAAATAAATACCAATTGATGTAAATCCGGCTACTTTCAATACCGGGATCGATATCTATCTGTCTGTCTATCAAGATTTATTTAGCAATCTAGTTATCTATCTATCTATCGATATATGTATATGTATATATATATGTAGATATCATAAGATAATTCTATTAATCATATAGTTCGTATGATTTGCCATATTGGTTAACAGCATATTTCATAGTTGAAACAATTGATCGATTCCTGTAGAGTTTTGTCCAATTATACAAAGGTACGCAAAACTATAAATACATACAAACAGTACATACATGTATACATACATGCATGCGTACATGCGTAATTACATGCATACATACATACATACGTACATAGATACATACATATATACATACAAATATATACATACAAACATACATACATACAAATATATACATACAAACATACATACATACGCACATGCATGCATGCACACACACACACACACACACACACACACACACGTGTGTGTGTGTGTGTGTGTGTGTGTGTGTGTGTGTGTGTGTGTGTGTGTGTGTGTGTGTGTGTGTGTGTGTGGGCGCGTGCGTGTGTGTACTGTTATCCAAATCCTCAGTTGCAGTTTTTGACACAGACGTGAATTTTGTTCTTAAATACAAACCAATCTCGTATTTTTCTTTTCGTAACTATTAGTTTCCGGAGTGTAAAAAGATTACAGAGACAAATAAAAAAGAAAATAGAATAAGAAAAGAAGCAAGTGAAGATGACAAAGAAGAAAAAGAAGCAAGATGGAAAAAAAAAATACAACTGATAGAAATAATAATAATAATAATAATGATAATAGTGATAATGACAATGATAATGACAAGGATGATGATAATAATGATGATAGTAATGATAGTAATAATAATAATAATAATAACTAGAAAAGCACTCAGAGAGTGCAGACCTCCGCCAAGGTGCGTATATAATGTACTTACACCGCTGCTGCGTCCAGACGGTAATTCGGAATGTCACCAAAATTTAATCAGTTCTAAGTTAGTCCCTCTCTGACTTGTCCCCAAAAATGATAATGATAATGATAATGATATTGATGATAGTAAGAATAATAATAATAATGATAATGATAATGATAATGATAATGATAATGATAATGATAATGATAATGATAATGATAATGATAATGATAATGAAAATGATAATGATAATGATATTGATAATAGTGAAAATAAATAAAATAATGATAATGATAAAAGTAACTAATGGTAATGATCATGATAACAAGAACAGTAATAATAAGACGCAAAGAACAGAAGGAAAAAGAGAAGACGAAAAGGAAGCCAATGAAGTTGAAGGAAAAGGAGGAAACAAGGAGCCTCACCCTGGAAGCAGATGACGCCCCCCCCCCCTTGCTTGGACTCTAAGTAAGTCCACGCAAGTCGCAGGCACTCACCTGGCACGCAGCAGACGCAGCCCCCCCCGCTGCACACGACCCCCTCCATCACCTCCTCGCCCCCCCCGCAGCTGAAGTCACATCGACCCCCCATGTCAAGGCACGTCGGCGAATCCCAGCATTGTGTTGGCATGTCTTTGGAAATGGGAAAAGAATTTATTTATTTTTTTTTTTAGCTTCGGGAAGATTTTTGTTGATTTTTTTGCTTCTATTTATTTGTTTAGAAATTCATTTGTTGGTTCGCTCATTGGCTTTTGCTTGTTTATTTATCAATTTGCTCCATTATCCATTTAATCAATTGTATATTTAATTCCCTATTTGTTTATTAATCTCCTTATTTATCTCGCTATTTATCTGCTTGTTTATTTTGGCTTTGTTCAGAATACTTCTTCCTACAGAGTGGATATGAGCACAGTTTCTTTTGCAAGTCTGAGTTAGTCCAAGCAAGTCGCAGGCACTCACCTGGCACGCAGCAGAGGCAGTGCTCTCCGTTGCAGACGCCCTCAACGGCTCTCTCGCCTCGGCCGCACGTGGCGTTGCAGCTGCCGCCCAGCACGGTGCAGCAGTTGCTCTGCTCACACGGGGCTGGTGGAGAGCAGGAAGAGTTATGGGTGAAATTTGATACGTCAACTAACAGGCAAGGGATGAATATATAGAAACAGACACACACACACACACGCACACAGACACATCCCCCGTACCCTTGACGCAGCACTGGCACGTTCCTTCGCACACGCCCTCAATGGGCGCCTCGCCCTCGTAGCACACCTTGCCGCAGCTTCCGCCGAAGGCTTCGCAGCACTTGGTCTGGTTGCAGTTGTCTGTCGGGGAAGGAAGGGACAAGGGTTTGGGTTGCATGTAGGTTTTCCATATAACAAGAATTGGCGTCTTTTAGTTATTTCGGAAAGTTTAAAAAATATCGAAAAAAGCTTCCTGTACCAGTGGATCCATCGGTGAGTAAGCAAGTGTACCTGAATGAATAATTTGAAAAGCTGAATAGGTGAATAGACGAATGAATCATCATCAGAGAGACACGTTTAAGCAGACCCTTCGGGACATGCCCTTACTCTGGACGCAGCAGGTGCAGTTTTCGCCTCCGCAGAGCCACGGGACGGCCAGCTCGTCGGCCTCGCAGCTCTCCACGCAGCGCCCGTCCAGCGCCTGGCACTTGGGGCTGTCCGGGCACGTGTCTGGGGGGAGAGGGGGCATAGGGCATTCAGTGGGTTCAGTAAAATAAGCAAATAAGTATATAAAAGTAAAACTAAAACAAAAACAAAAAAAATGAGATGGTGGAGTATTCAATACCAAAACGGGAAAGGGTAATAGAAAAAAAAACTAAGAATATGGCAATTCAAAACTAGATAATATGGCAAAGCATAGGCAAAGAATTATTATTCAACGGTGTACCAAATTCTTTACTAAGAATATACCAAATCAGGAAACAAAAGCATAGCGGAATGTTAACTAAGAATACAAAAATTATAAACTAACAAACTGCAGCGTACTAAGAATTTAAAAAATAATAAATCTAAAAGTACAACAACCTGGACACCCACAAAAACGGAAATTATAAACTAGGAATATGGCAAACAGCAAGCTAAGAATGTGCCAAATCATAAGCCAAGAATATTGAAAAGAGGGAAACATGCAATTACCTTGGAAGCAGCAAACACAGTCTCCCACACAAAGATCTTCCTCTGCAACTTCTCCATCGTTGCAAGCCCGGTCGCATCTCCCTCCAGAAAAGCTGCAGCATTTACTTTGCGTGCACTCCTCTGTTGCAAAGAAAACTTACTAATTACATTGTGATGCTAACAAAAAGAAAACGGAGGTAAGTACAGTAGTAGCATTAATATTACCGTTACCAAAAAGGATAGCAAAGATGATGGATAATGAAGAGATCATGAGAGGTGATAATGGTTTGTCCTAATAAGATTAGAGTACCAAAGATTGTCATCAACCACCATGGATGTCATGGCATAAACAAACATTACTTTTCACGCAGCAGGAACAGTTTCCGGAGGGACATAGATCAGGGTAATCGAATTCATCGTCTTCACAGGTCGAGTCACAATGGCCTCCCATGAATGCGCAGTTGACCGTATTCTGACACTGACCTGTTAGGGAGATGCAGAACGCAATCAATTCGTATTCATATAAAGTCTGAACTGAGTTGTTCATTTTCCCTTCATCAAACGAGGCTTCAAAACAAAATGGATTGTCAACACTGAATTTTGAGAATGTCATTGTCAAGGCGCAGAAGGACTCACGCTCGACGCAGCAGACGCAGCCGCCCTGGCAGCGGTCGTCGAGGGGAATCAGGCCAGTGACGCAGCTGTCGGTGCAGTTGCCGTTGAGTTCGTGGCAGGCCATCGTCTGCATGCAGACTAGTTCTGGACGCGTGGGGGAAATGTCGATGAAAATGCTTGGAAATGATTTTCGTACTGTTTGTAATACACGTAATCACACACAGACACAGTGACAGAGTAACACGTACACGTGTAAATATATTTATATATCCATATATATGTATTCACACTCTCTCTCTCTCTCTCCCTCTACATATATATATATATACATATATACATATATATATATATATATATATATATATATATATATATATATATATATATATATACATATCGCTCATTTATTTCAACAGTGACATAACTCAAAAATTGAAGATTTTGAGTTAGTTATATCACTGAATTTGTCATTTTCTATATTTATTTGTGGTAAGAACGTCATAACTCTAGTATCAAAATTGTCCATTATATGTCGCTCAAGGCATAGTGACTCATTTTCTTTCAGACGAATCTTTTAGTTGGCATAGCGTTTTATTTCAGTTAAGTGTATTTTATTATATTTGATGTCATGCACTACATTGAATCCTGAAATAAAACTTCATTGCTAAATACCTCTTTTAAAACTTACATGGAAGACTGTATTACATATTAAAAGTTTATTTTGCTTCTCCTGAAAAGTATCCTTTTTTGAGTTATGTCATTGTTGAAATGAATGAGCGATATATATGTATATATATATATACATATATATGTATATATATATATATATATATATATATATATATATATATATATATATATTTATATATATATATATATATATATATATATATATATATATATATATATATATATATATATATATATGTATACATGTAAACATAAACATATAGAAACAGGTAGATAGATAGATATGTAGATATGTAGATATATATCATATGGATACATATGTACACACACACACACACACACACACACAAGCACACACACACACACACACACACACACACACACACACACACACACACACACACACACACACACACACACACACACACACACACTCACACGCACACGCACACACACACAAACAAATATATATCATATATTTTTTTTTTACTCTATTTATTTATTCATTGAAAAAAATCTACCGCAGCGTATTCAAAATATAGCGATAGGGTGAGGCTTGGGGACGAAGAAAGTTTTTTGATCATAAGGTGATGTCTGTGGATTCCCAGAATGGTTACTGGTTAAAGTAGATAAATATGCTAGGCATCAAAGGTCATATGGCATTATGGTAATGTATTGTGGCGAAAAGAGTAAAAATGCGTTAATGATCAGGACAAGATGTGTTAGATGTAGAGCGCTGTAGGATAGTATGGTATTGGAAAAGGTAAATGGAGTACGGCGGGTATTGGTAAAAGGGGAAGGGGTTAAGATATATATATATATAAATATTCATACACTTACATATATATATATATATATATATATATATATATATATATATATATATATATATATATAATATAATATATATGTATCTAAATATACATACATACATATATATATATATATATATATATATATATATATATATATATATATATATATATATATATATTATATACATATACATAAACGCATATATATGTAAGTATATATGTATACACACACACACACACATATATACGTATATATACATATGTATATATATACATATATATATACATATATATGCACATGTAAATACACACACACACATATATACATATATATATATATATATATATATATATATATATATATATATATATATATATATACAAAAACTCTCTCTCTCTCATATGTATGTACTAATTCATATCTATATATATATATATATGATTCTCTCTCTCATATATATATGTATATATATATATATATATATATATATATATATATATATATATATATATATGTATGAAAGAGAGAAGCGTGTATCTATATATATATATATGATTCTCTCTCTCATATATATATATATATATATATATATATATATATATATATATATATATATATATAAATATATATATATATATATATATATATATATATATATATATATATATATATATATATATACATATATATATGAGAGAGAGAATCATATATATATATATAGATACACGCTTCTCTCTTTCATACATATATATATATATATATATATATATATATATATATATATATATATATATATATATATATATATATATATATACATATATATATGAGAGAGAGAATCATATATATATATATATAGATACACGCTTCTCTCTTTCATACATATATATATATATATATATATATATATATATATATATATATATATATATATATTCATATATATAAATGAATACATATGAGAGAGAGAGAGAGAAGCGTATATATATATGTGAGTGTGTGTATGATATATACTTTTATATATATATATATATATATATATATATATATATAAATATAAATATATATATATAAATATATATATATATATATATATATATACATATATATATATATATATATATATATATATATATATATATATATATATATATATATATATGAGTGAGAGAGACAGAGCGAGAGCGAGACGAGAAGCTGAAAGGATTGGGGTGAAATGAAGAAAAATACAGGATACAACACATTTCTAATAAAACTATGATTATTATTATTATTATTATTTTTTTTTTTTATCACACTGCTCCTTACAGGTAATTTTAGGAGTCATTTACAAGCATTATTCCATTCATACCTTGTCGATTTTTTCCTTCAGCGCCGGAAACATTGTTGACACTGCACGAACACTGAAGAGAAACTATATGAACGACTTGATATATACTCGTACAGTAGACAATATACAGTTACAATATCCATACTGTACAAAACTCCAAAATCAAACACTGTGTCTTGACATTATGGGATTTAAAAATTTCTATTAGCTTGATTAACCACTTGATTACTCAAGATGCAAAAGAGCAAAAGAACTGATCTGCGTTACCAAGGCTAGAAGAATCCACGCCACCTTTGGAAAGACCGAAACGCACTGCATCCTGGCGTCTTAAGCAGCAACGCAGCGATTCAGGACTCTGGGCGTGGATCGTGAATTGATAATGTAAAATGATGATAGTTCCAAATATAGTTTTCTGCTGTGCAAGTGCTGGGTGCTAATCACAGTCTTCGCGTTTCTAACTGTTTAGAGTGATATAACAGCGTCCAAAGCCAGAGCGGAAGTAAGAACATTCAAAACAGTCCATATTCGCCTCACTGATTGCTACTTTGTTTATGTCTCCTATAACACCATCAGCAAGGAACCCTACTTTCGGTGCCCTACTTTCTCTAATTACGGCAAAGAACTGAATACCTCTGGGGACTCACTCAGTTGTATTTTGCCTTTTTCCAGTAAATAAAGTAACGTCCCTATTTCCTCTTATGATCAGTAAAATTTGCATTGTGTTTTATTAAAACTCTGTAAAGTGGTAGGTGCAATGCATCAGGCCCCTTTAGAGTTTGGGGCCCTTCATTATTATGATGAAGAACAAGTTATTTGAAGAAATCACTAAAAAGCTCGGTTAACCAATGGGATCAGATACTGAATATTAATTTTGTTATGGCCCCTTTTGGTCCTATAACACCTCTCTTGTTATGCTGTCTGTTAGGATCCAGGGAAGTTTCTTAGACTTGCTCTGCTCAACTCATTGTGAGTGAGGCAATTAAGGCATAGAAATAACAGATGAAAACTTACACTTTTTGCCTAACTTGCTTCGTCTATTAGGTTACCTCCCTTCCCTGTGCCTTGATATAGACTGTTAGTCACTCGGATCTACCTTCTATGAATAAACAACTATACTGAAACAATTATTCTGGAATCCGAATTAATTTGCCTTTTAGGGGTAACCAAATTTGCATGGTGAGAAATTCTCTATCTCACAGCAGTCCCCCATCAGGTTCATAAAAGTTTACTCCTACTGAGGCCTTCTGCAGATCTTTCAATTTCATGAATAGCTAAATTTCTAGGAAATAAGTGCTGTCTGCTAACCAAATTCAACCTCTTCAGTTATGACTGACTGACTGACTGGCATGGCCCTGTTTGCCCATGGAGTCTAGTGAAGCTGGCGAGTGACTGATGTTTGGGAATTAGCGAACAGCTGGTTGACTCGAACTTGAAATCTCCTGCTTTAGCTTCTTGCAATTTACATCTTTCTTGTTAAAAAACAAGAAAATGAATTTGGGTTTAAGGAAAAAGAGAGACCACTGAAGTGGATCTGATATGATGCAGATATGGCACACTGAATATATATATACAGATCAAAGTCTACGCTCTGGGACTTCAAAAAAGGTTATACCTTAAAGATACAGAATAATTTTGAAGAAATTCCTCCCACCGAAGTCAATACTAAGTCATATGACTTGGACGCATTGTAAATTCTTACGCTGTTTAAGTAAGCGTCTTGGTTAAGCTAATTTTACCCATATAGAATGAGCATGAAAAAATAAATCCCTATATGAGGTTACGCTGAATGTGTGCATAAAGGGCAAACATGTATCAAAGTATTAAGGGTTTCGGGACGCTACAAAAAGGCCTATATTCAGTCGCATTCACGCAATCAGTGAAAACGATAATGATGATAATGATATATATATATAATTTATGTGTGAAGCATATTGGTATGTTTGGAATACATTATAAATGCAACAGGATAGCGAACTACTTTGGATATATTCCAAAACGTATTGACATGAACAGAGCATAGGAAACCAGAAAGTCATTTCTTCAATTCAGCTCATACATTCATTCTGGGCAAGAGATCTTTCTATAACATAAGCTATAACCTTCGCTTCAATATATTAGGTGTTTAAGAAAAGTGTAATAATTCATATTCGATTGCAGTAGCCTAGTTAACAAAAAGCTTACATGGAATCGATATGACATTATCAGGGATGTGCAGACACAAAATATAAATAACAACGTAACAATTTAATAGTAAATAGCAACGATTGAGAAAACGTAGGAATCATCAGAAGTTCATACGGTCTCGCATATCTTTTCATGCCAATTTCATTTTTACTATGCATAAAAGGCAAGCCGAAAGACGCGAAATGAAACGGAATATTTTGAATATTTCGTTATACGAGTCAGTAAGTTGACGGACATGAATACCAGCGTAGTCGCTGCTGCGCTCAGTGTGACTCACCTGAATAAGCAGCGGAAGAGCTCAGGTCTGCAGCGGCGGGCAGATCGGCTCAAGTGTGGATTTCTCTTGCT